AGTGGAGAAGATCGTTTTGGTTGGTGGGTTTTCGATAGACTTTAAAACGAAGTTCGTGGTCAGCTTTGCAGAGTAGAACATCAAGGAAAGGAAGAGTGTTGTCGACCTCTTCTTCAAGTGTGAACTGGATTGAAGGCTCGACCTGGTTGAGCTTGTCTTGGAGAGCTTGAACGTTGAAGCGTTTAGGAGTTATGAGGAGAATGTCGTCAACATAACGGAGCCAGGTGACAGACGAAGGAATAATGGTGGAGAAACGTTCGGCTTCTAGATGTTCCATGTATAGGTTCGCTAGGACTGCACTGAGTGGCGAACCCATGGGTAGTCCAAAAGTCTGCTGAAAGAGGTGATTTTCAAAAGAGAAACACGTAAAGCCAACACATAGTTCAACCAGGTCGATGAAGTCGCTGGCTGGAATGGGAAGATCAAGTGAATCGTCAATTTTCTTGCGCAAGAGATCGATGGCTTGTTTAGTAGGTACTTTAGTGAATAGGGAAGTCACGTCAAGGCTGGAAAGTTTCTTGTTCCTGATGTTGATGTTGCGAATGCGATTGAGAAGATCACCTGAGTGTTTGAGATGTGCTGGACTGATAGTGCCCAAGAGTTTCGAGAGGTGTTTGGCGAGAATTCCTGAGAGCTTGTGGGGAGCACTGCCTATTCCCGAGGATATGGGCCTCAGTGGGATACCAGGCTTGTGAGTCTTTGGCAGGCCGTACATTCTGGCAGGTCTGGGGTTGCTGGGCATGGTGTGCAGAAGTTTCTTCCCTTGTTCTGAGCTCCTCAGAATGCAGCGAGTCCTTTGAAGAAAAGTTTTAGTAAGGTTGTCCACTTGGTTAGTTGTGAGAGGTTTGTAGGTATCTGGGTCATTAAGTAGATTGAGCATTTTGTTCCTGTAATCGTCAGTGTTCATGATAACAACACCACCTCCTTTATCAGCGGTGGTGACCCTGATGGTCGTGTCTTCTGCTAAACCTTTGAGTGCATTGATGTAACGTCGGGGTATGACTGGGGAGCTGCGTGTTGAGATGGCTGCTGAGATGATGCCTTGAAGATAGCCTTTTTGGAAGTCGGAGTCATTGTGTCTGTAGTTTTTGGCGATGAAATTGAGGTCTTGTTTTGGTTTCGTAATTCCTGTTGCGAATTTGAGGCCTAAGCTGAGGGCTTCAGTTTCTGTGGTTGACAGTGGACGAGATGAAAGATTTTGAATAATTTCAGGTCTTCCTAAACTTTTCCAATTACTATTATCGCAGAGTGTTTGTAGTTTCCTAGTAAGTCTGATCTTCTGTTGAACATTCGCTGTGGTAACTCTGCTGCGAATGATTTCGGCGGTGCTACAAAGGAAGCTTTTCTCCAAGCTAGAACACTAGGCACAACACTCCGGGGCAACATGAACAGACGCACCGCCGAAATCATTCGCAGCAGAGTTACCACAGCGAATGTTCAACAGAAGATCAGACTTACTAGGAAACTACAAACACTCTGCGATAATAGTAATTGGAAAAGTTTAGGAAGACCTGAAATTATTCAAAATCTTTCATCTCGTCCACTGTCAACCACAGAAACTGAAGCCCTCAGCTTAGGCCTCAAATTCGCAACAGGAATTACGAAACCAAAACAAGACCTCAATTTCATCGCCAAAAACTACAGACACAATGACTCCGACTTCCAAAAAGGCTATCTTCAAGGCATCATCTCAGCAGCCATCTCAACACGCAGCTCCCCAGTCATACCCCGACGTTACATCAATGCACTCAAAGGTTTAGCAGAAGACACGACCATCAGGGTCACCACCGCTGATAAAGGAGGTGGTGTTGTTATCATGAACACTGACGATTACAGGAACAAAATGCTCAATCTACTTAATGACCCAGATACCTACAAACCTCTCACAACTAACCAAGTGGACAACCTTACTAAAACTTTTCTTCAAAGGACTCGCTGCATTCTGAGGAGCTCAGAACAAGGGAAGAAACTTCTGCACACCATGCCCAGCAACCCCAGACCTGCCAGAATGTACGGCCTGCCAAAGACTCACAAGCCTGGTATCCCACTGAGGCCCATATCCTCGGGAATAGGCAGTGCTCCCCACAAGCTCTCAGGAATTCTCGCCAAACACCTCTCGAAACTCTTGGGCACTATCAGTCCAGCACATCTCAAACACTCAGGTGATCTTCTCAATCGCATTCGCAACATCAACATCAGGAACAAGAAACTTTCCAGCCTTGACGTGACTTCCCTATTCACTAAAGTACCTACTAAACAAGCCATCGATCTCTTGCGCAAGAAAATTGACGATTCACTTGATCTTCCCATTCCAGCCAGCGACTTCATCGACCTGGTTGAACTATGTGTTGGCTTTACGTGTTTCTCTTTTGAAAATCACCTCTTTCAGCAGACTTTTGGACTACCCATGGGTTCGCCACTCAGTGCAGTCCTAGCGAACCTATACATGGAACATCTAGAAGCCGAACGTTTCTCCACCATTATTCTTCGTCTGTCACCTGGCTCCGTTATGTTGACGACATTCTCCTCATAACTCCTAAACGCTTCAACGTTCAAGCTCTCCAAGACAAGCTCAACCAGGTCGAGCCTTCAATCCAGTTCACACTTGAAGAAGAGGTCGACAACACTCTTCCTTTCCTTGATGTTCTACTCTGCAAAGCTGACCACGAACTTCGTTTTAAAGTCTATCGAAAACCCACCAACCAAAACGATCTTCTCCACTTCTACTCTCACCACGACACCAAAACCAAACGTGGTGTAATTATAGGCTTCTTCCTGCGTGCACTCAGAATCTGCAGCAACGAGTTCCTTGAGGAAGAATGCACTATAATTGAACAGGTATTTTCCAAACTCCACTATCCTCGTCACTTCATCAGAGACTGCAGACGGCGAGCACTAAACATCTTCAACACACCCAGAGAAGACACTGCCGAGAAGAGATACATAGTCCTTCCCACCAACTCCATTGCCAAACATGTTTCCAACATCTTTGCCAAAACATCATTCCAAGTATCTACCTCCACAACCACGACCATCAAGGACATCACCAGTAGTAGGTAGGACAAGCCTCCATCCTCTGCAGGGGTATACATAATCCCTTGTAATGACTGCAACAAGTTATACGTGGGCGAAACATCAAGGGACCTCCAAACACGTATTTCAGAACACCAATACGCAAGCAGGTCTGACGACACAAGGAATGCCTGCGTACAACACCGTAATTCACACAACCACTTGATAAACTACAGAAACTCAAGACTTATCGCCACAGAAGACAACACTCAATACCGAAGAATCCTGGAATCATCACTTATTTCTATATCCGACAACTTCAACCAGAATAGTGGCTTCTATAACATAGCTGAACCACTTGCCAAGAAACTTCTTCATCGCTATCCCACATAAGAACACTGTAGAAGGTCTGCTCACAAACTTGTCCAGTCTCCTTTCCAAGCTACCCAAGTTTTTAGACTCTACAACCCAACTCGGTACATCATCAGATGCAGCATTCTTCACCTGACCTCAGCCGGACTATAAATACTCGCGTTCCTTCCACCCCAGGTAGTTCTGTTTGTGACTTGAAAAAGCCCACTGTGTGGGCGAAACGTAGTCAATAAAGGATCACATTATACTGCATTTGTGTTTATATTGCCATTGTGTCGGTATTTATACCATTTATTTCCAGATAGTTCCTGACTATGGAACTGAACTTCTCCAGGCCGAGGGACTGACAACCTCAAATTCTACGACTTTAAGGGTGATGGACTGATTACATCGTCTTCACATCTCTACTGTTCCTGCCTACTTTCTGTATTCGACTGAAGAAGCCTACTGTGTAGGCGAAACGTTTCGGAATAAAGTTGTCTGACTGTTGCATATGTGTCTTACCTAACAATGTGACATTTTATTGTGGCAACGTTTCGCTCTCTAGGAGCTTTGTCATCGGTTTGACAAAGCTCCTAGAGAGCGAAACGTTGCCACAATAAAATGTCACATTAGTTGCACTTGTGTCCTTTTACTAGACTATGCTGCTCAGTTCTGGTCACCGTATTACAGAATGGATATAAATGCTCTGGAAAACGTACAGAGGAGGATGACAAAGATGATCCCATGTATCAGAAATCTTCCCTATGAGGATAGGCTGAGGGCCCTGAATCTGCACTCTCTCGAAAGGCGTAGAATTAGGGAATTTATGATTGAGGTGTATAAATAGAAAACAGGAATAAATAAAGGGGATATAAATAGCGTGCCGAAAATTTCCAGCTAAGACAGGACTCGCAGCAATGGTTTCAAGTTGGAAAAATTCAGATTCAGGAAGGATATAGGAAAGCACTGGTTTGGTAATAGAGTTGTGGGTAAGTGGAACAAACTCCCGAGTACAGTTTTTAAGGCTTAAACGTTGTGTAGTTTTAAAAATAGGTTAGATAAATACCTGAGTGGGTGTGGGTGGGTGTGAGTTGGACCTGACTAGCTTGTGCTGCTGGGTCTGGTGCAGTGCTCCATCCTTGAGTGAAGGTGACCAGACTGGGTGGGTCACTGGACTAATCCGGGGGGGGGTGTCATTGGTCTAATCCGGGGGGGGACATGGACCTGCTCCACATGGGTCAGTAGGCATGTTGCAGTGTTCCTTCTTTCTTATGTTCTTATGTTCTTATCTCTTGTGTGGAACTGTGTCAAACCCCTTCTTGCAGTCCATTTCTTGTGCAGGTGTGTGTGTGTGTGTGTGTGTGTGTGTGTGTGTGTGTGTGTGTGTGTGTGTGTGTGTGTGTGTGTGTTGTGTGTGTGTGTGTGTGTGTGTGTGTGCGGGTGTGTGCGTGTGCTTGCGCACGAGCGTGTGTTCGTTTGTTCTCAACGAGTTGTGGCCAGAGAGATGTTAATCTCATCAGTTCTGGCTTTCATTGAGACTTTTCGAAAATGAATAATAGAGCTTTAAATCATTTATGTATTAACGAAAGTCAAGAATCGCAGTTCAACATATGACTGTTCCACAGCATGCCCAAACACTGGATCCTGCTTGTTGTACGAAGGAGGTCAGTGTAAATTAACCTGCGCAAGAAATGAGCGAGAGACTCCCGGCATTTGTAACTTGGGAACAAATTGTAAGTGTTGTGCCAAGCAATGCACGCCACTGAAGTCGTGCACTGACATCAATGGCTTTTGTGTTCAAGACCAGAAGGACTGTGTTAATGGCTTCATAAACGTGGGAGACTGTCAAGGTTATGGATGCATGTGCTGCAGCCAGGAACGTAAGTTGATCAAATTAACAAATTATTACCTGTACCTTAAAATATCTATCAATTCAAAACTAATATATACAGATATCAAACACTAACTCAAAATGCTTACAACTACTTAAATATATTTAATACAGAAGCTAGTTTTCTGATTTAGACAACAGTTAAAAAGAAATACATTATTCAATGATATTAATATACATCGGCATTTAAATTTTTATATAATTTTATTTAAATAGTTACAAAATATTTGCAATGACGATGCTAGTAACTAGTTGTCAGAGGAAGCTTTATCTCATAGACAGGTCTTTGTGTGTGTATGTGTGTATGTGTGTATGTGTGTATGTGTGTATGTGAATGGTGTGTGTGATTTGTGTGAGTGAGTGTTGGTGAGTGTGTGTTTTTTACGTTCTTTCTTATGATCTTATGTTCTTAAATGTAAGGGACCTCTGCCTAGTAGGGCCAACACCCTCTTGCATTGTTTACTTCACTTCTTTCTTATTTTCTTAGGCGTTAGACACAGTTCCACACAAGAGACTAAGAACAATAAGAACATAAGAAAGAAGGGAACAACACTGCAACAGGCCTGCACAGAAAATGCAGGCCATTTCTTGTGTCAGGTGTGTGTTTGTGGTTTGTGGTGTGTGTGTTGAGTGTTTGTGTGTGTGTGTGTGTGTGTGTGTGTGTGGTGTGTGTTGTGTGTGTGTGTGTGTGTGGCTGTTGTGTGTGCGTGTGGCTTGCCGCGAGTGCGTGTTCGTTTGTTCTCAACGAGTTGTGGCCAGAAAGATGTTAATCTCATGAGCCTGGCTTTAATTGAACTTCGAAAATGAATAATAGAGCCTTAAATCATATATTGTATTAACACAAGTCCAAAGTCCGCAGTTCAACATATACTTTCCACAGCATGCCCAAACACACGGATCCTGCCATGTGTACGGGAGGTCAGTGGTAAATTAGACCTGCGCAAGAAAAGAGCGAGTGACTCCCGTCATTTGGACTTGGGAAAAAATTGTAAGTGTTGTGCCAAGCAATGACGCCACTGAAGTCGTGCACTGACATCAAGTGGCTTACTTTGTGCTCAAGACCGTAAGGACTGTGTTAATGGCTTCATAAACGAGGGAGACTGTCAAGGTTATGGATGCATGTGCTGCAGCCACGAACGTATAGTTATCAAATTAACAATTATTCCTGTTTACCTTAAAAATGTCTATCAAATTCAAAACTAATATATAACAGTATATCAAACACAACTCAAAATGACTACAACGACTTAAATATATTAATACAAAGGTAAAAGCTAGTTTTCCTGATTTAGAAAACAGTTAAAAGAAATAACATATTCAAGATATAATATTCCAGTAGGCTTTTAAATTTTTATAATTTTATTTAAATAGTTACAAAATTTTTGCAATGATGTATGCTAGTAACTAGTTGTCAGAGGAACTTATCCATAGACAGGTCTTTGTGTGTGTATGTGTGTGTGTGTGTGGGTGTGTGTGTGTGTGTGTGTGTGTGTGTGAGTGGGTGGTGTGTGAGTGTGTGAGTGAGTGTGTGTGTGTGTACTCACTCACCTATTTGTACTCACCTATTTGTGGTTGCAGGGGTCGAGTCTTAGCTCCTGGCTCCCGCCTCATCACCGGTTGTTACTGGGGCCCTCTCTCTCGCTCCCCCGCTCCATGAGCTTTATCAAACCTACGTTTAAAACTTGTATGGTTTCCTGCCCCACTACGTCATTTTCTAGGCTATTCCACTGCCTTACAACTCTATGACTGAAGAAATACTTCCTAATATCTCACTGACTCATTTGTGTCTTCACTTCCAATTGTTACTTAATTCTGGTGTCCCCTTCCCTGACATCCAGTCTTTGTCCACCTTATCTATTCCATGCAGTATTTTATATGGTCGTTTAATCATGTCTCCCCTGACCCACACCTGTTCCTCCCAGTGTCGTCAGGCCGATTTCCCTTAATCTCAACAAGGACATTCCCCTTAACTCTGGAACTAACCGTTGTCGCACCTTTTACTTTCTCTAGTTTCTTGACGTGCTTTATCAAGTGTGGGTTCCAAACAGGTGCTGCATACTCACAGTATGTGGGCCTGACATACACGGTGTACAGTGTCTTGAACGATTCCTTAACTAAGGTATCAGGAAGCTGTTCTTCAGTTTGCAGGCGCCCATATGCTGCAGCAGTTATGGAGCTGGTTGATGTGTGCTTCTGGAGAGACATGCCTCGTGTTATACTCACCCCAAGATCTTTCTTCTTGAGTGAGGATACGGTCTTTGGCCATACTACCATACTCGGTCTGTGGTCTTCTGTGCCCTTCCCTATCTCAATGACTTTGCAATTTGGCAGAATTACATTCGAGAAGCCATTTTTGCTGGACCAGTGTCCAGTCTGTCCAGGTCTCTTTGAAGTCCTGCCTGGTCCTCATCAATTTTAAATTCTCTCTCATTAACTCACATCTATCTGCAAACATGGACACTTCTGAGGTCTAAACCCTTCCATCATGTCGTTCACATATACCAAAAATAGCATTGTCCTAGGACCCGACCCCTGTGGGACCCCGCTTGTTCACAGTGCCCAACTGTGATGCATCATTACGTACCATGACTCGTTGTTGTCCCTCCCTGTCAGGATTCTCTGATCCATTGCAGTGCCTGTCCCTATCTATGCGCCTGATGCCTAGCTTCTGCACTAATTCTCTTGTGAGGAACTGTTTAAAGGCCTTCTTGCAGTCCAAGAAGATGCAATCAAACCCACCCCTCTCTCTCGTGTCATACTTCTGTTATTTTTATCAATAAAACTCCAGAAGGTTTTGTGACACAGGAATGCCTTCCATGGAATCGCGAGCTGGTTGGCATTTATACTCTTGTTCCGTTCAGGGTCACCACTCTCCTCCTGATAATCTTCTCCCATAGATTTTGCATACTATACACTCAATGACACAGGTCTATAGTTTAGTGCCCTCTTTTTCTGTCACCTATTTTAAAAATGGGAACTACATTTTTTGCCGTCTTCCATACCTCAGGTAGTTGCCCCCAGTTTCTAGGGACGTGTTGAAGATTGTGGTAAGTGGCATCACAACATTCTGCACCCTCTCTAAGGACCCACTTGGGAGATGTTGTCCATCCCATTGCCTTTGAGGTACGATGTCCCTTAGCATTTCTTCACCTCCTCCTCATCTGTATGTATGTCGTCCAACACTTGTTGGTGTATTCCTTGCTGGTGTCCCCATGCTGGTCAGTCCCACCCAGAATCCTTCAGACTCTAACTTTAATGTACTTCCTTAAAATCTCGTGTTGAGCTCCTCACATTACCTCAGATTGATCGTTTCTTGGAGTTCTCCACCTTCATATCTCTCACCTTATCACCTGGTCCTTGACTGTTGTATTCCATCCAATGTTGGCTATACCGCAGTTTCGGGTCAGATTTTGACTTCGATGCTATGTCGTTTTCGGGGGTACTGTCCGCTGGGCCCTCCCTTCCTTATCTGTGCATACTCGTTTCTGGCTCTTCCTACTAATCTCCTGTTTTCCTGGATCCTATGCCTCCTGTAAACCTTTTCCATTCTCTGTTGCACTTATAGTTTTTGGCTTTCTACACCTTCGGGTAAACCAAGGACTCGTTTTGGTCTTCCTATAATTTCTGTTTCCCTGGGAACAAAACTTTCCTCTGCCTCCTTGCACTTGTTGCCACATATTCCATCATCTCGTTTACTGATTTTCCTACCATTTCTCTGTCCCACTGAACCTCCTGCAGGAAGTTTCTCATACCTGTGTAGTCCCCCTTTTAATAGTTTGGCCTGACCCCATCAGTTCCTGTTACCTTCTCCCACTTGTAACTCTACTAATAATCAAAACTCAGCAGCCACCCACATGATCGCTAGCTCCAAGGGGCCTCTCGTAAGTGATGTCCTCAATGTCTGAACGTGCTGTTGGAGTGTGAGCAAAGTAACATTTATGAAGGGATTCAGGGAAACCGGCAGGCCGGCTTTGAGTGCCTTGAGATGGGAGTACAGTGCCTGCACTCTGAAGGAGGGTGTTAAATGTTGCAGTTTAAAAACTGTAGTGTAAAGCACCCTTCTGGCAAGACAGTGATGGAGTGAATGATGGTGAAAGTTTTTCTTTTTCGGGCCACCCTGCCTTGGTGGGAATCGGCCATTGTGAATAAAAAAAAATAATAAATAATATAATATCTATAATAAATATATATATATAATTATATATATATATATATATATATATATATATAGAGAGAGAGAGAGAGAGAGAGAGAGAAAAAAGAGAGACAGAGAAAGGAGGGTGGAGAGAAAAGGCTATGAGAGAGAGAAATGTGAGGGAGGGTAGAAATATAGAAAAAGGGAGATGGAAGAGAAGCCTATTAGAGAGAGAAGAGAGAGAGAGGAGAGGAGAGGGGGATAGAGTGAGAGAGAGAGAGGGAGAGAGAAAAGAAAGATAAATGTGAGGGGGAGAGAAAGGGTAGAGAAGAGGGAGAAAGAAGGGTGAGTAGAGAGTGGAGAGAGAGAGGCGAGAGATGGAGAGAGAGATAGAGAGAGAGAGAGAGAGTGACAGAGACAGAAGACAGGGAGACGAGAAAGGAGGGTGAAGGAAAAGGCTATGAGAGAGAGAAATGTGAGGGAGGGTAGAAATATGGAAAAAAGGGAGAAGGAGAGAGAAGCCTATATAGGGAGAGAGAGAGAGAGGAGAGAGAGAGAGAGAGAGAGAGAGAGAGAGAGAGAGAGAGAGAGAGAGAGAGAGAGAGAGAGAGAGAGAGTAGAGGGAGGGAGAGGGGGCAGGGAGGGAAGGGAGAAAGGGAGAGAGAGGGAGGGAGAGGGAGAGGGAGAGAGGAGGAGAGGGAGAGGGAGAGGAGGGTGAGAGAGGGAGAGAGAGGGAGAAAGAGGGAGAGAGAGTAGAGAGAGGGAGAGAGAGGGTAGAGAGGGGGAGAGAGGGGGAGAGGAGAGGGGAGAGAGAGTGTGAGAGTAGGGGAGAGGGGAGGAAAAGGCTATGAGAG